GTGGGTGTGCGTGTGGGTGTGGGTAGGTGTGGGTGTGGGATGTGGATGTGGATGTGGGTGTGGGGGTGAGGGTGGGTGTGAGTGTGAGTGTGCGTGTGGGTGTGCGTGTGGATTTAGTTGATATAAACACTTGCACCCATACCAACATCTCGCTCCCATCCCCGCCCCCACAAGCACACCCACATCCAGCATGGTGTGGTAGTACTTCTGGGTATCTACTTCATCCACACCCACAGCAACTCAAACCTTTATCCCCTCACATACCCTAATCACCAACACCCAGTCTATTTTTCAATAGGAATTTCAATATTCTCAAGATTTTCAACAAGAGTTGGTATGAGTTCTCTTTCTAGCTTCTTTCAGTAGTATTCTTCTTAGTAACTAAAATATTTTATTTGATAATATGCACTGCGATTCGTTACATATAAAAGACCAACGTGTGGTTGTGTTACATTACGCATGGTGCGCACAATAAATTTCACAGTTACCAATGCTCGTTCTTTTTACGATTTTACTTTTCTTTCGTTATATTCTGTCGCAAATCGCACATTTTAATACAAGACTGATTAATTTCGCTTCGGAAGTGAGTATGAGTGGATGTGGCTGTGACTGTGGGTGTTAGGGTGTTGTTCTTTTGTATATTTACACCCACACCCACACCCTAGCAGAGATGTCATAATATCCATAAGCTGGGTAACGACAAGTAACACGTCGAGATATCCAACGAGATGGATATCCAGATTTTTGGAGATACCCCGAAAGTTGAGCAATTTGAGTGGATTTAGTGTAACGAGATGGATATCCAAAATTTTTGGAGGTACCCTAAAAGTTGAGCAATTTGAGTGGATTTGGTGTAACGAGATAGATATCCAAAATTTTTGGAGGGTGCCCCCAAAAGTTGAGCAATTTAAGTGGATTTGGTGTAATGAGATGGATACCCAAATCTCGTTACACCAAATTCACTCAAATTCCTCAAGTTTTGGGGGCATATACTAAAAATTTTGGTGTAACGAG